GTGTCAACGAATTTGAATATTACCTATGTAAAGTTTATTTAAAGACGAATGATCTTAACAATTTGTTCTATATAAATATTGAGAGTATTGTAAAACGAAATACTTTGACTGACTTTTTATAGTTTTATCAACAGTAACTACTGATTCAGTTATCAGATTACATATCAATATTGAGAATAATATTTGAAAAAAACCTCTTTACTTTACCTTGTTCACATTTATTAACAGCAACGTTTTTTTTTTGTACATTATGACTTGTCATATATTCTAAAATAAGATCATGACTGCATTAATAATCCATTATGAAATGAGCACGTTGAGAAAATTACAGCGCGACATGCTTTAATCGATTTGCTAAACCTATACACAGGTAATTAAAATTCATGTATTGTAATACAGAATAAGTTTGAGTAATTTTAAATGAGACGTTGGTTTAAATAATATTCGTTTTTGTTTTTTTTTTGCGTGGTGCAGCACCTATTAATATTAATTAAGTTTGAAATAATTTATTGCTCATTAGTATTTTGAATGCATGTGTTTTAGTATAGCGTTTGAACTTTATTGTAAAAATAAAACGTGATCAGAGAAAACGCAATGAGAGAGTCAAAAGGTAAAAATCCCGGAAAGCTTTAATCTGTAGGTTTAGTACAAGGACACTGTAAAACCATACATGTATACTGTATATTGAAATTATAAAAAGCCTATTTTTTTTCTTGATCTTCATAAGGAGTAGGCATTCTCAGAAAACAAAACTTGTCTAACCAGTAGCGAATCACACTACATAAGGAAAACACGCGCAATAATGAAACACAAATGTAATTAAATATTTATTCATGAAATTTAGGGAAGTAAAACAAAGATTTTTTATTTAATTTTTTTAAGGTACAAAATTGGGTGTTTACTGTGTTTTGATCAGTAACTCTTGTGAAGATAAACCATATAAGAACAAAAAGCAGAAATAGCTATCTTCCATATCTGTCATATTCGAACACATTTGTTAGAAGTAGGAACATTACTGAGATCGCTGTTTGTTCGTTTATAAAAATTAAAAGCGTGTCAAGTTTCAAACCACGTGATTACTGTACTTTATAAAAAAATAGTCTGTCAGCTATGCATGTCAGAGGTTATTTGGCACCAGAAAAGTAAGAACAAACAAACTTATGGCAATGATTGTTTTTTTTTTGTTAAGCACAAGCTGCACAATGGAATATCTGTGCTATGTTAACTTCAGAGATTTAACAACTAATTTAAATTTTATAAATCGCTGAACAACTGGGGGTGGGACATGCTAAAGAAATCTTTCGAACTTGCAAGATAAGTTTATATATATATATATATATATATATACTGGCATACGTACTTTCATTCAGCTATAAATTGTATAATTTAAACCTGGGTTTTGTCGATATTAGTTTATTCACAATTTCTGTAATTGAAAGATCAGCTTCTCCTTACCCCCTCCTCATGTCCCCCCTAGTGACATAGCGGTATATCTGTGGACTTCCAACGCTAGAACTCGGGTTTCGATACCCGTGGTGGGCAGAGCACAAATAGCCCATTGTGTAGCTTTGTGCTTAATTTCAATCAAGCAAACCCTCCTCATTCTGTTTAAATACCTAAGACTGACAAAATAGCTCTCTTTATTTTGTGTAAATAAATCATCAAAAGTAGCATACATTCACAAATGACCAACTGCTAAAACACATTTCCGCGTTGCATCTAGAATTCTAATAAAGATTAACATCTAAATGGTATTCTGTTGTATTTTCTATACACACGTGAAGTTACACTCGTTGAGAATAAGTAAGTAAACATGAATTATTTAAAATTCCAGCAAGCTTAAAATATCGATTTTACAAAAGAAAGGTGAAAATATAAGGGCGAGTTGCTACATAAGATACAACATTACGTGCGGAATTATCCTTCGTACATATACATAAACAGTTATGTGCAGCATTATCATACGTACATATTAATGCACTTTTTTATGCATAGTGATCTCTCGTACACATACGTATAACATTATATGCACTATCGTTCTTCCTAGATGTAAATGCAACATTATGTGCAGAATAATCTTTCGCATACATAAATGCAACATTATCCTTCGTTCACCAAATGTTTTGGTATGATTATCTGTTTTCGCTTTTGTTCAATGTGTCATTGCATCAAGGGTTTTAACTCATTTAGTAACAGAATGGACACCAGTTGGATTACAGAGCGTGTTCACAAGAGTAACAAGTAAATGGAGCTACAACGTTGTGGAATCCGAAAATTCAAATATTAATGTAAATTGTTGAAATTACAATCATACATTATATGCACAGTATGAAAGAGATATGTTTAGAGCCTAGTACTGACGTCATAGTACCGGATACAACCTTTGTCATTTAGTGGTCGTGCAGGGTTAGTCCTAAGCGGTCCGTGCAGCATGTAGAAAGTTTTGAAGTGGCAATATGTCACATATGACGCTCCGAAACTTCAGATTTATAAAACGTTAACCCGTTATTCGGCTAAGTGTAGCCCATAGGTGAAAAGTACCATTGTATGGTTGTCCTTGCTCTTATCAGTAGTTGTAAATTAGATATAACTATACCTGATCTCAGATTGACCATTTATCACTCTTGTAGTATAATGTGTTTATCGTTAATACTGAAACAACCAACTTAATTTATGATTATACAGTGACTGATTATATAGTAAAACAATTTTGAATATGCAAATCAACGAATCATGTTACAAACCCAACCGATATAAAGTAGTGGTGGAACGGAATGTATTAAAACTACATTATGAGATTATCTATTTGATGTTACGTAGGTTACTAGTATGATGCCACCAAAAAATTGTTCACTTTTGGAAAAAAGTATATAACAGCCTTTTCTAACACAAAATATCCATAGACTCAGATCATATAGATGTGTCCAGATTGATCACCCTGAATTTCCAAGACAGAGTTATCCCCCGTACTTAATGGCACCAGAAACAAAGGAATATGAATTAATTTAGGTACCACAAGAGGATCAACCAGAGAAAGAAACCTGTAAGAAGTTGTACCCTAACTGTGGTAAGCAAAGTGCGTAGTCTTGTAACAAATAAAAATCTACAAACACTAAAGTCAGTGACAAAATCCATCCTCATATCCCAGACAACAGTGTGCAACATAATCAAGAGGAATCTCCATCTGGAAAAGCGACACAAGTCACGTACATACAAGTTGCTTCTACAGAGCATCACTTCAACTGTAACATACCTCAAGGAACAAGAGAATCAAATGGGTATTCCTGCTACTTCATACGAAGGCACAGCAGACAAGTCGCTTAATGCAGCCTCTATGGATTTCTGTGCAATTGGATTGTTGAAGCGGGCGTCGTGAAACATTCTTGTATACAAGATAGTCTGCGGATAAAGGATCGTGTGCTTTGGACATGAAAGCTTTATGATGCAGCCTTTTAGAATAGAAAAGACGCGACAGAGCTATCCTCAAGATGCACGGTCGTCAGAGAGAGCATGGCTGGACGTAGAGACATGGACTTTAACTTCTCGGTGAGGCTTCAAAATCGTTTTAATATAATATACTTTATCTCTCTGTAAGTATGTTTTATACTTATTTCTTTTAATTTTTAATACAATGCTAATTAGTGTTTCTTGATGATTAATCAAGTAATTCGTTTAACTAGAAATAATATTATTTGAAATAAATATTACCATTTCTCTTCCATTCTATAGTTAATTGAATAGCATTACGTGGCCATTACGTATGCTTTTGTTTAGTCATTTACATTTTATATTTCATTTTAAATGAAAATATTATTTGGTTATTTCATAAAGCAGTATATTTGTCATTTTCACTGCTTCACAAAGTGTTAAACCTTTAAAAGCTTTTTACCTGCTAGGCAAGTGGCTTTGATTTATTGTTAGAGATGCTTGTGTAAAAGGAAGGTTGTAACATTGAGAAATGATTATCACGTTACATTAGCTTTATTATGACATACTGTATCCAGTGTGTAACATCACATACTGTATCTAGTGTGTAACATCACATACTGTATCCAGTGTGTAACACCAGATACTGTATCGAGTGTGTACCATCAGATACTGTATCCAGTGTGTAACATCAGATACTGTATCCAGTGTGTAACATCATATACTGTATCTAGTGTGTAACATCACATACTGTATCCAGTGTGTAACACTATATACTGTATCTAGTGTGTACCATCAGATACTGTATCCAGTGTGTAACATCACATACTGTATCTAGTGTGTAACATCACATACTGTATCCAGTGTGTAACATCACCTACTGAATGTATTATTTAGAAATATATGTCATTTCCGATTGTTTCCATGAATTATCAAAGGGAAATGGTAGCTCAAACTTTTCATTGATTTTAGGGAAATCTTCATATAGTTTTAATACGTTTGAAGTAACAAGCTTTAAGCTCATGTTTTTAGAGGTCGGAGCAGTATGGTCTACCTATTCTTCGCGCGGAAACATTTTGGAATTTGAAGAGAAAAAAACGTGACATAACTTCAGGTTTTTATATCTCAGGAAGAATTTTCAGTTGGATTCGCATGTTATTTACAGATCATTTATATAATATGCATTTTAGGAACATACGATGTCATTCGTTACAACATTGCCCAAATAAAATTTACCATATTAACGCTCTCATCTGAAAATGCTAACTTTGTCTTTCTAATTCCTTTTACTTATACTTTTTTCAAACGTCAGTAATTACAGTATATCATGCATTCCACTCAGTTATTGATATTTTTCGCATGTGAAGAGTTTATGGCTGTTTGAAACTTAATTAATATTATGTGTGAAATAAAAAAAAACAAATAAAAATAGAGTTCTGCAAATTAACATTATCATTCGCAAGATAATTTGATAGGTTGACTATCAAAAATTACTTCGTTATTTTCATTTGCATTAATTTGCTGAATTAATTCATAAGATTATTATGATAAAATAACCAAACAAACCCAACAACATTTATACACAAACGTTTATTTCATAAAGCAGAATCTGAAATTATTGTTAGGGAAGTGGAGAATTTAATGTATTGGGAACAAACATTTAAAAGTACAACTATGAAACACAAAGTATTTTTTAGTTAGAAAGTATTACTATGAATATATTTCCATATTATTAAAGACTAAAATATTGTTTGCCAGTCTGGCATATGTCATTTTATTTTTTTATTCCTTCAAGCATGGTATATGTCATTTTATTTTTTTATTCCTTCAAGCATACGGCGGAAACTCTACCAGTCCACACGTCAGAATGTGAGCTTCCTTCCGGAGGACTGCACAAATATCCATCTTCACAGCTTTGTCCTGAGAGCAAGTTGCATGTTTCTCCAGCGCACTGGAATATCATGAAAAGTTGTTTTTGTTTGAAGCAACAATATATGTATATATATATAATAACACCGAGAAGAAACATTTTAACAAAATTTGACGTACTAATTTTATTCATTGTTTCAGAAAACCATGATGGATTTAATTATATGTATGCTTGTAAGATAGCATTGAACACTAGTCAAGATTTGTTATTAAAAGAAATTTGATAAACAGCACTTTTGATGAAAGATACTTACAGCATTACAGTATTCACAGCATTTACAGTAGTCCCAGAAGGTACCACAAGTACAGGAACTTGTATCTCTACAAAATCTCTTGTCACAGCCTAGACTGCAGTCTGGCTGACTAGTACTCTTCACTCTAAAAATTGTTAAAAACATCTTTACGTAAATTTTAAACACGAATTCACGAATAAATTAATGACTTCTTGCATTGTTTTGTAATGAAGATCATTTGCTTGAAACCTATTCTATTATTTTCAGTTTAAGATGGACGACGTTTCATTATACATGCTGCATATTTTATTCATATTCATTTGCATGGTAAATATGTGTTTGCGCAGAGTTTCAGTGATAAATCTCGAAATGGAAAAGTTAAAGCATTAAAACCTGAATTGAAACATATACTTATACCACATGTCAGATTTTGACTACGTTTTAATTGTATTTATTTGCGAAGTGTTTGACTTTTATATTATTATGTTGTAATTATAACTCCTCTTTAGTTCTACAAGCAATTATATTATGTCATAATTATATTATGTTATATTTATAACGCTAAAATTCGGGGCTCAAACTCTGCTGTATACACAGTGCAGATAGCTCACTCTGCATCTTCCGTTTAAAAAAATCTTTAGTGAAGTAAATTATTGCCAGAAATTTAACATACCCATAAATCAAGAGGGTGAGAGTCATGATTACAAAGATCAGCTTCATTTCGCTTCAATACCTGTAAGAAAATGTGATCATTACGTCGATCTCTATATTTCACAAATGAAATTTCAGATTTCTAGAAAGAAAACACCCTCTGCTACATATTATATTTATCTAAATGTATTCAAAATATTTGTCATTTTAAATTAATTCACATAACGACAACCTTAAAATAAAAAAACAGCTTTTAGTTCTGCTTATCTGTCTACTGGGAGGAAAAGTTTTCACTAGTTGAGACTTCTTGTGAACTAAGAATACTTACAAAATATCACGCAAGTCGTCTCTATAAGCCGTTTTGTATGCAAGCAAAGACGTAGAAACTTGAAGCTCTCGTTTACTTGACAGCCTAAGTGTATACATACACTCACATTCAAGTGATTTATATGGTGGGTTTATATTTTCACGTGATCTCAAACCTGAGGTAACTTTACTCATCTTCTTTTTAATTGGCTCTTTCTGAAAGGATAGAAATAACTCTATTGGTCAAAAATAAAAACATGTTGCTATAGGCTTCGCATAATCTGCACCAAGAAACATGCAGGAAAAATATAGGTTGTATGAGTTATCAACGTTTAGGAAAAGATATACGCGTAAAATACATTTTGAGAAAACTAAAGAAATTGTCGTTATCAATATGTAATTAGTATTAATATTTATTTATTTATAAGAACAGATTGCGTATAATTCAGCAGGAAACATGTAAGCAAATAATATCAGATGTCACACAGATAAGCAATGAGTAGCACAAACAAAGAAAAACATTTAATTTTTGCTCTGCTTCGTTTGTGTTTACTCTTTCCCGTAAATATACATTATTTTGCATTCGTTAAATCTTTTAACTTGTAATATATTGCTGCCTGAATTAGATTAATTTCATAGCCTTCTTAATTTTAACATGGTTTAAAGAGAGAGAGTTTCAAGGAGTTTTATTTTTTGTATACATAATTTCATTACTATTATTTTTAATTATCACTAACTTCTGATCAAAGCGAGCTAATTAAAAATATCAGAACCAAAAAATAAGTTGAAAATAATGTGGCCTCTTTTATCTAACAAAAACAAACTTAACACTTAGAATGAATTGAATAATTGATTCATTAATTACATATTCTCACTGTTCTCGATGTTTTCAGTCAAAGCTTTTAATAATATCTAAAGAGATTAATCTTAAGTTCATGTACTAAGCTATTAATGCAAGATAATTTTTATATGTGTAAAACTAAATACATAAAAAAATCAAACAAATATTTATTACCTTATAACCAATAATACCAATGAAACTAACTCCAAAGAACGACTGGAATATGTCCTTGCTTACGATACCCTTTAAACTTGTTGTTTGCCTCCTGTACTGAAAACACATTTAAAACATCTGTTGATCTCACCCTTGTAAAAATGATTTAAAATGTATCTGTAAATATGGTATATTCAGGGATGTTTTCTATCTTTTCGTGAGGGTTTTCTGCATGTTGATAATGATATATTTGTCAACTAGATACATAAAGGTTACATATGACAACGGCTTGTATAATATTGATTTGTGGCTGAGAAAATCCTAGGGTGAAGCAAGCCATCTCATGGATAACACATATACTTATACAAGGTGATATAAGTTGAGTCTTTTGAATAGTAATTTTGATTACTCAATGATGTAGGTAATGAGTGGATTATGGGATACCGTAAAATTATCTTTTGTTCAACCTGAAAGTGTGGTATATAATTATTATTTCTGTTCTTTTGCCATATGGCCATGATTGGAAAGCCTCGTCTACCACAGCAGCCAGTAAGAAGACAAGAGGAAATCAGAAGCTGGCCAGTTTGGTAAAACAGTAAACATTATTGTGAATAAAATTGTTTAATTTATTCCTTTGTTTGATTGCTTATTTTCCTGTACTATCCCTATTCAATTTATTCTCTGCTTAACAGTCCTGAACTGGTGTTTTTCGGATACTTGAACTTCTCTGTCAGACATCAATGTATCTGAATACTATACAGGTATCATCCCCTATTCCTAGAGCATCGTGAGATTAGTATGCAAAAATAGTAGTAATAATAATCGTCCAATTGTTGAAAACACATTATTAAACTTTATTGAGCTTCCTAAATTATTACAAAAGGCTCTCCTCCTCAGTAAGTAAGTGGTAAGTGTATGCACTTAAAACCTGAAATATAGGATTCTACCAATCGTGGTGTGGCTTTGTGCTAACACAAACAAACCAAAATTTTGAGAGTATAATACCAAGTAAAATTGTCTCATACGAATGATTAATATTCTACATTCATCGAGTTAGTTAATGACATCATGGATAAAAAGAATTAATCACTCTTTATATGGATCACTTGTATATTTTAATATTTGACTCACAGCAATTTCTAACTAAACGCCAATGCAATGTCGTCATGGATTACTTTTTTCGATAAACAGACAGAAAAAAGAGAAATATCCAAATAATGATATTTGTAAAAAATAAGAATAATAGAAAATAACACTTCAGAGAGTGGAACCTTTATTATTTTATATTAAAGTCGAAAAGCTCACACGACAGAGCATTTATGACAAACGTGGGTTTCAAAATCACACCCTAAGCGACGATCGTATCAGCAGTGCGAAAAAATAGACACGAGAGAGAACTTTCTGTCTTATGTCTTCTGGTTCCATTAACAATAGAGTAACAAGGATTTATAATTAGTCAAGTATCACAAATAAAACATTAATAAACTTTCGGACAAACTTCGAAATCAAAGCTCTTTTCACGAGGAAGATAGTTATAGAAAACTGAGCTACGGTAATACTGAACCTTGCAGTAAAGTCCCAATGACCTTTTGTGCGTTTAAACTACTTTATTCTTAGAATCTGGTGTTCTGGTACAGTGGATAGCCTGAGGATATTTTGTCAAGGTGAAAGATTTGACAACTTATAAGAAAAAACAACAATTTACAAGATGAACTAGCCTGATTGAATTTCGCCCTCATTACGAATGAGTAAACTCTCTTTTATATTATTAAGCTTTGTTCATAATTGACCTTTGATAAGATATTAAAATAATTTGAATGAAGAGCTACGTCACCTTCACTTAGTACCTACTCCAATACGCTTGATTAAAAACGTTTAGTATAAAAAAAAAACCTTTCCAAAAACTAATCAAATAATTGCAACATAATTAGCACTAAATTGGATAAAGGAAATGCAGTTATTCAGGGTGAAAAGGAATATTTAAATAAAGTTGAAAATATTTTGAGTGATTTAACTAAATTTGTGAAGCTTCATCAATATCCTATTGATATTAAAGAAATAAATTTGCAACCATATCTATTGCAAAGGATTATGTGTCAAGTAAGACATAATATTCAGAAATTAAAAAACCAAGGAGTCATTCACGGATTTTCTAAAACAAAAGTATTGGAAATTATAATCATACTTCAACAGTTTCTTAGTTGGTGTTTGAAGATGTATCTATGAATGAATATAGTTGGAGAGACGGTTTTAACTTCAAAATTCAAAGTTACGAAGGGAAACTATAGTTTCTGAACACCCCTGGTTAATTTTTTGAGCCCTAACATTCCTTTTTGTTTTGAGGCTTGAATAACTTTTAAACCCAAACTGCTATAAGGATTTGTATTTGGAAATCACCACCTCCTATTTCAATTTCAGAAACAATTTTCAGTGTCGTGATTAAATGTGAAACGCCTGTTTTTCATTGAATTAGAAATCATAAAAAATAGTTATAGAATAAAATATGACTTAAGAAATAAATCTATATAAATATAACAGTGCTGTCTGTTGTATGTCCATGTAAATACTTCTCAGGGTGTAGATGGATATTCACCAAAATTGGTGTGGAGTTTTATTAGGCCCATGCGAGGGTACATACAAATTTTCAGTTTTGCCTTTTGCGATTTTTACGGACGTTCTTGAGTTTCTTACCACTACCTCACTTCCTGTGGATGGATCTTCACCAAATTTGACATGAAGTTTTGTTGTGTTCATGCAGAGATACATGCAAATTTGCGATTTTGCATTTTGTGTTTTGCAGTTTTTATGGGCGTTTTTACGTTTTTTACAATTGCATATAAGGGAAGGGGCTTTTCATTTCCTAAGATAACCTTTCATTAATCATGAATTTACATAACTTCACTCCAGGTAACAGGTGCTCCAGCTAGTTATAAATAAATTTCGACATACTGAACACCACGTTAAGTATCTGCTTAGATCACCAAATGATGCCCGCATTCAGACTTCGTACTTTAAAACCTGAGTTCAAAGTTCTAAGTTGTACTTATTTTAATGCAAGAATTAAAATAAAGGATTTTCTGTGACGCGAAAAATTGTAGATGTCAACGTAACATGCAGTACCTTGCTAGACCTGTTTGATATTGACCATGGTGCTAAAATAACTCCATTTTTTCTTAAAGCACAATTGTACTGTGAGAAGTATCAAAGTACACATACTACAAGACAGTATAATTACGGAAAGATTCTCTTTTTAGCAGCTGGACAAAAGAAAGCACTGGTGGGACAATTGTCCAATCTATATACACATTGTTTCAAGGCTTGCTGAAAACTTAATACACAGAATTGTATATGGTATACTGCTGGAAAAGTCAACGTTATTCTTTATACTTTGAATATAAAATTGTAGTTATTGTCGTCTTTGGGTATCAGTATACGTATTCCTGTTTTTCTTATCTTATTCTCACAGCAAATTTTTTCACTGTGGTTTTGAAGCAAAAGGTTAACAGGAAAACATGTTATCTTATTAGTGATAAAATAACGTAGAAGCTTAGGAAGGAAGTTGAGGAAGGAAGCAGCCCTTGCATGGCTATGAGGATGTACACTAGAGACTCCAGATGACGAAAATGAGAACAAAATTTTTTAGCGTATGGTAGTCGCAAAGTTTAATAGAGCAAAGCTTCAGAAGGTTACTGTGGACTTTTACCAATATCCTATTAGATTTTATTTCAGAGTCATCTGAAAAAAATCTAATAAAAGTTAATCTTTGATTATACAAATATCTTCATTAAATGGACGGTGTCATTGCAAGACAAGTAATTTTAGGAACACTTTGCCATCATCATTATGACACCTCTTTAACTTATTGCTCATCAATGTTCCATTCTTTGAAAAAAATTCTGTGATTATGGTTCTTTATTAATTGCTTTTTAATAATTCTATTCTACCAGCTAATTTCAGTTCAAATACTTGTGTC